CGGAGATAAAGATGTTACGAACCTTCGGGAGTGTATTCGGATCTTGTACTCGAATCTTAGACCCGAAAGCCTACTATAGGAAGAGAGATATCTACAGTATTTTTGGAAACCTCGCTAGGAAAACCCGTCTTAGTACGACTTGTATACGTCTTGGGCACCGAAACTACTTAATATTACCAAAATATGCCTGGAAGACTCTGGGTTCGGGTTCTCCTGCCTCTCTTTGTAAACAATGTTCTTCGTTACACTATTCCAGTCGCATCGGCGAGTTAAATCTGCAGGGCGCCTAGCCTTGACCGTCTCGCCTGCTCGGTCAATTTACCACAGTTCACATTCGGCGGTGGAGGTGCTGATGACTGTGCTAGACCCATCCGGTTGGATTATATCCCGCACCTCCAGCGGTTTCGTCTCCGGATCCCCAGGATGCAAGCCAGTATCGTTCAGCATCTACTTGCTCCTGAAAGCATTTGGCCAGGGCATTCTGTAGTCTCACCAGAGCCTCATTCACGTGTTGGAGTAGATCCAGCAATGCGCACCACTCTCTGATAGCGCAGAACATCTCGTTGCTGGTTAAGATTGTCGCGCGTGAGCCTGTCGAGCTTTTCCAGATAGTCCCTGCGCTCAAACCCCTCCACCCTCTGTATCAAGGATTCGATCGAGAAGGCCTCCTTTGGGGTGGAGGGCTCGGTCGACGGGATTTCCCGCTCATAGTCTGATTGTGTATCCGTACCCACTCTCTCCTCCCTCTCGATGGTGTCGAATCACCACTTCAGGATCTGGGACCTTTGACCTTTCGTCTGAATATGAACAGACCGCAACGTGTGACACGATTTCGATTCCAAAAGGCCCAAAATTGGGTCTCAACAAGTATTGGTGGTCGCCTGGGATGAGCCGTAACAGTCACGTGCGAATGAGGAATAGCCTTTGTCAAGACGACAACGCCAAAATCTTGGAAAAGGCTTCGGAAAGGTCCAAGCCTTTTCTCCTCTACCTCAACGTTCGCGGAAACATGAAGAATCTCACGATCGTTGACATACAGTGTGATGGCCCAGACATTGTGTTTCTTTCCGCTTCGCGCCGCACAGTCTTACGTCGAGGCAACGTGGTCATCAAATCCGGATCCAGCATCAGAAGGGAGGAGGCGGATACTCTTCGCTTTGTTCGCCAGAATACGTCGGTGCCTGTGCCAGAGGTATATGACGACTATCCTCAATCCGACGGTACTCACGTCATTGTCATGGAATACGTCGAGGGCGAACCACTGTCCGAACTGTGGCCGACCCTCTCAAACGAGGAGAAACTGGAAATTAGCGGACAGCTACGAGAGATCCTCGGTAATCTACGAGAGAAGAGAGGCAATTATATAGGAGGTATCGGAGGCACTGCTGCGGTTGACTCTCGGAAAACCACCCTCGTCGGTGGTCCTTTTGCGACTGAAATGCAATTCAACGACTTCCTCCAGTCTGATCTCATCAAGGCGGCACAGCGCAGATTTTCCTCGACCTTCTCCAAAGTTATGACATCGACCCACAAGATCCTGCTCACCCATGGCGACATCAATCCACGGAACATCATCATTCACAACCGCCGGATCACCGCCGTTCTGGACTGGGAGAACGCCGGCTGGTATCCAGAATATTGGGAGTACGTGAAATTCTTCGGCGCTTTGGATGATTCGGACTGGGAGACCTATACCAAGCACATCTTCCCTCAGACTTACCCGCAAGAACTTGTAAACGACCTTCTCCTGGGCCAGCTGCTCCGTCACTGAGAAGTGCCGGGGAAACAGACATCATTCCTCAGGCGCCTCCATTATCACGTTGACCATCTTGCCGATCGCGGAGCTTCATTCTTCCGTGGTGATCCACGCCTTGTCAGAGACGGCCTTGAGGGCGTCGCCGACCCAGTTCTGACAGTTCCAGCCACGACGTCAAGGTCCGTGCAGGTCGTGTAATACTCGTCTTTACCGTGAGCCAGTGCTAATGTATCCGGGCTCGTTGGCCACTGCCACACCCAATACAGCGTGAACTGCGAATCAACCGATACGTCACTGGGTACGAGGACGTCAGTTTCACACCACTATTCGTTAATAGCATCAGCCAGGTCTACCTTGATTTCACTACATTTTGCCGCAGATGCATCTCCTATAAAACGCTTACATACACAACACTAGCGGCGTCGTCGACTCGTCCGAGCAGAGACAATATATGGATGATTTACTGAAACAAGAGCAGGGGCCTCGATGTATTAGCGTACCTGGCTTCTATAAGCGTTTTTCGGGACAATCCCTCATCTGGAAGAGAATGCCGCAGCTGTGTTCTCAAAATGCCAAGAAGGTGACGTTCCGTTGTATCGTGTGGAAACAGGCTGGAAGGGTTGGCTGAGAGGGCTTGAAAAAAGGGAGGTGCTGAAGTGGTTTTCTGACCGAGTTCTCGATTTCCTCAATTTCGCAAAAGATCTCGCTTCGGTGTCAGATACAATACGAAGAATATTGACACGACTAAATAAGCCCGCGGTAGGCTCTACGGCTGAACGAGGGACAGGTATGTGCTTTGTGGAGAACCCGACGGTAAATGAACTTCCTATATCTCACCGGTCGTAAATTCTTGTCCCTACAGAGCTGAAGAGTGACCCAGCCTTGGATATGGCCACTGAAAATGGCTTAACCTGGCGAGATACGTTCGAGAGGTACTAATCATTTAGGAAACTCGTCGATTCGCATTAGGATTGACTCTATGTGGCTCGATCATGAGGTTGTGGGGGTTTGGTCGCGTTGGTAGGATTACATCAGCACAATTTGATATGAATCAAGAAGGCCTAGGGTTTGAGCCTCAGATAGGGGCAACCAGAGGTGGCCAGAAGATGAACATCCGTGGAAAACAGGCTCGCACGCAGATGCTGTATACTATTGAAGGAAGAACAGTCCAATATGGCCCTTGAGAGAGGCAGACATAGCAGTTATTCATGTATCCGATGCTTTGTCGAGACCAAGGGCAAAGGATGTAATCTGGCGGCCGTCAAATCGGCTCCTCTTGGGACGGAAAGGCGGTGACTGAGGATACCTATCTATTTCTTTTCACTTCTCTAGATACTCCTCAAACCATTGCAAAGCCTGTAAGAAAGATGCTTCCTTTGCGTACAACTGCACGCGGTCCTTGAGATCTCCACGCACCGCGAATCTGCAAGGTGAAACGGCCCCAAACTCGTTAGCTTGCCCGGCGTGTGTGTGTGTGTGTGTGTGTGCTCTAGACTCAAATTACAAAGAAGAAAAAAAGGACTCACCCGTGTGCAACCCCGCCGTACAAGTTTATCTGGTAGGGCAGGCCTGAGGATTCCAAAATCTGCTCACTTTCATGGCGCTTCTCGGGCGGGAAGACGTGGTCGTGGGCCGCCGCGGCGATGGCGAAGGGTCCTTTGATAGCTTGCAGCTCGTCCCTTGCGATCTGGCTTGGGTGTGCGCCGTAACCGACGTCGATCTTCGCTTGGTCTGGCCGCAGGAAGCGGACGACGTATTTCGCCCCGAAACAGTAGCCCACAGCGCCGATTTTCTGTCGCCCTCGGTCAGAGATCCTGCAGAAGTGGAAAGATTTTTGTATTCTCGCCCAAAAGACTTGGTTTCTCACATACTTTGCAGTGGTGCTTGAGCCGCATCTGGGACAAGCATGTCTCGACAATCGGGTCGACGGTGGACGCGTCGTGTCCAATGCCTCGGGCACTGTATCCACCTCCGAACCACTTGGGAATGTCGAGCTCGCCGAGCTGGTTCAGCTCGATTGCGTCGCCGTAGAAGAGGTCAGGCATCACGACAAAGTATCCGTTGGCAGCGAATTGGTCGGCCAACAGCTGAGAGTTGATGGAGCGGTGGCCGATTACATCGGTCAAGCTGTATTGAATTGGCGATTGCACGTCAGTGAGAGGGCGACATTGTTGCCTGGATAGGATGGGATGGGCTGGGCTGGACAGGCAGCTTTGAAAGTCGACAATAAACTTACAAGAGAATTGCTCTCTCCGTCGACTTGTTCTCGGGGTATTTGACATAGACCTCGAAATCGCCCCATTGTTCCATTTGTCCCGTTGCTTCGCCTTCATGCTTGAAACCTTTGTAGCAGCAGGTATCCGGTCTGTTGGAGGTCATCTTGGCCCTGTCTGGACGGAGAGTAGTCAATTGAGGACCGGTAGTGTTCTAAATGGATATGATTGCCTTTGCAAGCAGCTGACCCTCTGGTCGAGAATATTCTCCAGCGCCTGGTCTGCTTAAAAGGCATTTTGCAATTGTGGATTTTGAGACGAAGCTGTGTGGAGGTGCGGTGACTGCAATGATGCAAACCACCACGCCTGTCTCCGATATCTCCATCCATATTTCACGGACTTTGAGATCGGAGAGTGGCTCGTATCCAAGCATCGAAGATTACAGATCCAATTCTCCCCTGATCTGGTGGATCCCACCCGATAATATAGCCATCGATGTAATTCCTCCTGGCAAAGAGTCGGTGCGCAGGGAGATCCGGGCCGTGATCTAGGTTAAAGTTCTCATCTTACAGTGAGACCTGATTGTCGAACACTGAGTTGTTTCTACTCATACGGCGGGTCGTGTGCTTTAACATGGTGGCTGTAGACATGTCAAGGTTTTGCCCCAGAAGGGAGTCAAGGCTCGATTGGTCTTTCTTGTGGGGCGCGTTTCCACAGACCCACCTTTTTTAGACTACGCTAACCCGAATCACGGAGAAATGGTGATGGAAGGCCCGAGAGCACCTCTTCTCGTGAATTGCAGAGTACATGGAGACCGACAGCATTGCACCGAGTAGACTGCTGGCCTCATTACGACTCCTCAATCTACAACATTGCCTAAGCGTCATTTTAAGGATGATGCCTTCTCTTTTTTTATGTGTATAAAAGCTTCATGCTAAGGCAAGAAAGGATTGGTTCCAACATGCTGATGTGTTGGCGATCACTATATCATTATCCAGCAGACCTGATACTCTTTCTTGAGGACAAGAATCATGGCTTCAACCAAAGCTAGGGACCAAAATAACGGGGATATCGAGGCCCCGAATGCCTTCAACTCACAGCAAGGAACCCTGCAAACACCTAACCAACTGAATCTGCCCGAGGACGAGGCAGCATCACAGAACGGGCCTTCCGAGAAATCAGGAGACCGACGAAAAGAACACTTATTGAAAAGGGATGTGCTCCCGGAGCAGGACCTTGATCAAGGTATCGTCGGATGGGAAGGGCAAGATGATCCAGAGAATCCACGGAATTACGCCCCATTGCGAAAATGGACCGTTCTAGCTCTCGTGAGCTCAATGACATTGATCAGGTGAGCATAGACGTTCAGAGATACTTGCGCCTCTGATTGAATGCTCAAAGTTTACAGTCCGTTTGCGTCTTCGGTTTTCGCACCTGCCGTTCGATTTGCCGATGCCGACTTCAACAACACTTCAACCATCCTGAGCACTTTCGTGGTCTCAGCATACGTCCTTGGCTACGCGGTATCGTTCTCCAATCTGGATGCCTCCTGTTTCCGTCTATGTCTGACAGTTCTCTCTATAGATTGGCCCACTCTTTCTCTCACCTCTCAGTGAGATATATGGTCGACGCATCGTCTTGAATATAGCATCGCTTCATTTCGTGGTGTGGCAGATTGGCTGCGCTCTGGCTCCCAATATCTCATCACTGATCGTCTTCCGATTGCTCACGGGCATGGGTGGGTCTGCTTGCTTGACTATTGGCGGTGGCACGATAGCGGACATGTTCGAGAAGGAACAGCGTGGCCTGGCCATGTCCATCTTTACCGCTGGGCCACTCTTTGGCCCTGTCCTCGGTCCTATTTGTGGGGGCTTCATAGCGCAAGGCGCAGGATGGAGATGGGTAAAGTTCTCTGATCAAAAATCTGTGGATGATTCTAATTTGTCTTCCCCTTGCAGGTCTTTTGGACTCTCTTGATCGTTGCAGGTACTTGTACTGGGTTCATTCTCGTTTTCTATCGCGAGACTAATCACACTGTCCTGATCCGTTACAAGACCCGTCGACTTGCAAGAGAGTTGAACCGCGACGATCTGACAAGTTGCTATGATAAAGTCTTGGGCAAACGCACCGCAAAGGCTCTCCTTGGTCGCAGTTTGATAAGGCCTCTGAGGCTGCTATTCTTGTCTCCAATTGTTGGACTATTGGCGATCTACGTTGCACTGATTTACGGCTGCCTCTACTTGCTCTTCACGACAGTCACCACTGTGTTTGAGGATGCGTATCACTGGACTCCAGACTTGACAGGTCTCGCCTATATTGGCCTCGGACTCGGTCTACTTTGCGGACAGGCTCTATTTGGTCTCACAAGCGACAAGATTATAGTCCGCCTTTCCAACGCCAACAACGGAGAATACCAGCCCGAGATGAGATTGACAATGTGTCTGTTTTTTGCTTTCTTCGTACCCATATCCTTCTTTTGGTACGGATGGTCAATTCAAGCAAAAGTACACTGGATTGTCCCTATCATTGGGCTCTTACCATTCGGCTTTGGAATGATTGGGATCTTCACGTCCATCCAAACGTACATTATCGACTCATATTCTCAGTACGCAGCGTCCGGGATAGCCTCAGTGACCGTGACGAGATCTTTCTTCGGCGCATTTCTTCCACTTGCGGGCCCTTCGCTATATCAGAGTCTAGGATACGGAGTAAGTCTCTTTACCGATCAACTCTTATTCCAGGCCTAACGAGTGTGCTAACATCGAATACAGTGGGGAAATTCTTTGCTGGGATTTGTTACGCTCGCTTTGATCCCAGCACCAGTTCTCCTACACCGATATGGCGGGTTTCTGAGAGAACGTTTTCCTGTAAAATTAGAATAGCAGGGGTGTCTGCAATGGGTGGCGTGGAGATGGATGGATACATTGGTAATATATCGTTTGGAGCGATTGGGTTCGCGGTGTATCTGTAAAGGCAGGTTTCTCAGGCGTTTTGGAGGTTACATAGAATGTCATTGGGTATCCCCGTGCAGTGCGGAAATAAGCAGTATTCGTGCTTAGGTGGCACCCATTAACAGCCCCCGGACTTAGCGGGCGTAATTTTTAGGCTGCAGGAGCCCCTAAAAAGTGCCTGCTCGAGGCAACTCATGAAGTCACCTGTTTGTTGAATGCGTGTGATACTTCGCCTCTCCTCTTTTCTCCCACCCAGTGACCACGCGACCCCCTCATACATATATGCTGCACCGCTGATCCATCAATCAATATTCAATCAAATATTTTCATGCACACACCTTGCGCCATATGAGATGAGCTGCCAACCCCAGACAATCATTTGACAACACAATCACTCCCATGTTCGATCCCTCCTGTGACTGTCTGCACCCTTCGCATATTCCCACCATTCTCACGGCATATATGGTGAAGAGGACGAAGGTCAATTAACAATCATTCGACGTGTTATGCAGTCCTCCTCATACCAGGATCCTGGATCCTCGAATAATGGGGCTGGAAACATCTCTCGGGATGACATAGATGTTGGTCGCAATAACCTTACTGACGGCGATTCGGAACAGTCGCACGACGTGCCTCTCGAGCTGAACACGAAGAAGCGCGAGGTACAAAACCTCCAACCTATCTCAAGAGCCTGCAGTTCCTGTCGAGAACGGAAGGTTAGATGCGACAGAAAGCATCCCTGCAGACATTGTGCAATCTCCTTTCAAGGTCAGCCAGAGACGACACAGTATTGTTGGCCTGCGACGATCACTAACTGCTCTAGACTGTATCTACCCAGAACCGCGTCGGAGGAAGAGAAGATACCTTCGTACCACTGAGCAGGTCGAGTCTCTCAAGACCAGGATTGAGGTTCTGGAATCATGTATCAAGAACCTCACACAACCTGCAGATCCGATGCGCATGCCATCCTCTCCAGAGCGCCAATTGGCCGGTCAGTCGAGCTTGTCCTATTCTTCTGAGCACTCTCTAGAGGACCATGATGAAGACATCTCCTGGACTGCTCCAAGATTCATTCTCACGCGACACGCAACCGAGGAAGCCGAGGACGGATTTCAGGGATACTCGGGAGACCGAGCGTTCATCCAACGGATGAGAGAAAGGATCAAAGATTGGCCAGGCGACAATGTCCGTTCACGAATTCGTCCTCCAAGGAGGCCATGTGCAAAACTATTTGAGTGTGATTACCCTCTTGCCGCAACCGCCTGCCTTCCTCCCAGAGAGAGGGCTCGTGCCTTGGTAGATGCTGCGGTGGAGTCATATTCTCTTTTTCCCATCCTACACCGGCCGAGCTTCGATCGTTCCCTTGAATCCATTTACGCGACGACACCCAATGATTTCACGATCGAGCAGCTACGATTCCTCTCTCTTCTCTATGCAGCCCTTGCCCTAGGGTGTATGTTCATTCAGGTTGACTCTGCGGATGCCTCTCGCGAGCACGAGATCGCCGAGGGGTAAGTTCGCCACATCCTCTAGTACAACTTCTTGGGATGCTAATTTTCAGGCAGACTACAGTACTTCGCTGCCAGCCGTGCCTTTGTTGATGTTGGCGACGGAACAGATGAACAATCACTCCAAACAATGATATTCCTCATCCTTTTCACTGTCTGCAACGCTCGTGTTGGTACCTGTTACTCATACGTGACCCATGCACTGACACTTGCCCTCCGCATGGGTCTCCATCGTTCAAAGTCTAAACACGACGATCTAATCGAACGAGAAGTAGGCAAGAGAATATTCTGGGTCCTGAGACTCCTCGGAAGCTACTTTGCAACGGCATGTGGCATGCCCAAGCTCTTAAGCGACGAGAATGTCGACCAAGATTTGCCGATCGAAGTTAACGATGAATACATCACCAAAACATGTATTTCGCCCCAGCCTCCGGGGGAAGTGTGTTCGATAGCGGGCTTGAATGCAATCATCGCCCTTTACAAGATCTTGGAGCAGGTTGTCAGGGATATATATCCGCCTCGAGGAGTCGTCAGGACGCACGGAACACAGGCTGCAACATATCTGGTCCGCGTTGAGAAGGTCAAAGATATCGAGAGGGCTCTGAAAAGATGGATAGATAATCTGCCGTTCGGATTCCGTCTGAAGGCCCATGTGGTTTCCAGACCTTTGCTCAGGTAAAACATCCCCTCCATACACGCGAGGAAACCCAGGATTGGCTAACCTGGCTTACTCTAGGACGCAATATCTACTCCGCATGTCGCATGCCCACGTTCAACTCTACCTCTACAGGCCTTTCCTCCATTATCTCTCCAAAGCCACTACTCAAAATGCATCATCGCCCGATCTTACTTTTCCTCCGTACGCAGCTGCCTGTGTGCAAGCGTGTCACACTATTCTGAGCCTCAGCGACGAAATGTACAACCAAGATCTCCTCCGGGGTGGATGTTTTACTGTCTTGCACATGATCTTCGGATCTGTCGTGACACTCATGTTCATCATTCTCGATTCCCACGACTGGGAAGGGAGAGAACAGTCTTTCAAGGATATATCGATTGGTCGAAAAGCCATTGCTCTTCTCGCAAAGTGCAACAACACTGCTGAACGAGCGCAGACCATTCTGGAGGTGAGTGGATGGCTTTCCATCTCTAGGTCACAATTCGGGGGCTAACATCTCGGAAGACGATGATTTCGCTACTCCCTGTAGAATTTGCAGAGACTCGAGAACGTCTAAAGTGCCAAGGGCCACGGGACAGTGGACTGACTACTGAAAGTTCGGCTGATGTCAACTCTTCTTCTGTGAGCTTCGGTATGAATCGTCCAGGCTTGACGGAGGTGGCCCTCGATCAAATGAGTACGGGATTACCCGTTCAAACACATTTTGGTCGGTTGATGTCGCCGGGGGGGTATTCTTTCGAGTCCAGCCAACAAATCAAAAACCATGCGTCAATATGTCAACTATCTACAAGAGCACCTCCAGACACCCCATATACCACGATGTCAAGCGGAGATGTCGAGGGTGGGCCGCTCCCAACCTCTCTCCATCAAGGTGCGATGCGGGAAGGCCTGCAGGATCACTTCCCTCCCCCACCTGTCGTGCAGTATGCTTTGCAGGGTGGCGGTGGGGGCGACGAGAGGACTATTCCCTCGCCCTTTGGAAATGCCACCACCGCTGAATTCCTTGAGGCACAGCATTTCAACTTCTCTGCCAACTATTTCGGAGACACGTGGAGTAACGTGAATCAATTTTCGGATCTGAACGTTTCAGATCAGGATGTCAATGGATTTCAGGTAATGGATATGCCCAGCTTATTGGGGTTTCAACAGGGTGGAGGTTTGTTCAACCTCGACTATCTACCTTGACGATCGAAGTGATTTGAAGCCTTCTGGAACCTGACCGAGATATTGCGCGGCATTTCCCAGAGTGATAGCAGAGTGCTAAGGACTGCTTTTGCACTCCAGTCCAGTCACTCCTGTGCATGTTTTTTTTGGATGCTGCGAGAATTGAAAAAGTCTTTGGGATCCAATCGCCCACTCTCGATCTAGATATCCGTATCGGCGACATCTTGCCATGTGGTCCATAGGATAAGCGACCGCGAATTTCGTTCAAATTCTGCACTGGTCTCATTGTATTTCTATGTACTCGACTGGTGGACAGGTGGGATTGTGGAGGAGTGGCCCTCGTCGACTTATCACGGAGTCGGTCAGATCATCGCTCAACTGCCACGCACTAAGGATCTCGGGAAGTACCCTTCTCTCTGGTTCGTCAACTGACAGGAGGCTTGTCTGATTTTGGCTTGGTCATCAACGCCAGTGCAGCTTTCACCAACGACCATCAATCCTGCCATAGTCCCTCTTGCAGCGGCGAATCCCCGGGCCAGATGACTCCAGCGCGAAACAACCAAGGCGGCAGTTATCCTGTTGTCCTTGTTGTGGTTCCGCATGTGGGGCAGACTCATCGTTGTCGAAACCAGGATGAAGTAGTCGTGTGGAAGGTCAGAAAGGTGAAACGCTCCTTTGGTCAACAATGGGAATGTCAAGAATTGTGAGATCAAGGCCGACGACAGAAGCCAAGCCATGACCTCTATACCATACGCGAGAGTCTGTCGTCAATGGCATGGAAGACTTGGTGGTTATCGCTACTCCCACTCCCCCGTCACATCTTTGTGTGGCACTAACTTCCGAACGTATCGATGAAGACGAAATCCCACATTCTGAGGCAGTTCGGGACTAGCACACATACTCACTACTGACCCTTTCGGCTTAAGAGCGAGGTTGGATGTCTATCCTCCCCACAATGCGGAGTTGACTTGTGTCGATGAAGGAACAATACTGCATACGGCCACCGACCAGTCCAATTGCCCTTTTCATCCAGATGTCGAGCTCGACCCTGGCTGTAGATAACTGAGGGGTTGATCAAAGGAAGCTCGATATGCTCCACATGTGGACGTTGAACCCTGGAAGGGCACGAAATCACCCCTGTTGCACTTTTGACCTGACATCGTGTTTGTCCTGCTAACTTTGTGGAGGGTACCCCAGGTTTAGTTGGAATCTGTGGAGTGAACAACAGGATATATGAGCCTGGGCAACCCTCCACATGAACAATTGCTGACAACGGGGGAGAGTGCATCTTTCAGCTGTCATCAAACATTACCGCGATGTCGGAAGTTCCACATACCAGTCAAATCACCGTGCCGGTGACGTCCCTTTGGGCCAACCGCAAATGCTTGATGATTGCGTGCATTGTCGCGACTGCCAACACCCAGTATGGTTAGTTGTCACCAGATCAGACGCTGACTCCAGGGAGCGACGGGTGACTGACGTGGAAATGTCAAGGTTTCGACAGTGCTGCAATCGGTGCCCTTCAGGCTATGCCTGGCTTTCTGAAAGTATTTGGCTTTCCCGACCCTAACAGCCCGGGTGGCTATGGGATTGACAGTACCTTTCAACAACTGATCGGCTCCCTCTTGACGCTCGGTGCATTTCTCTCGTCGATCCTCGCGGGGGCCTTCGGGGCCTTCTACGGCCGCAAAACAGCGCTTTGGTTGGCCTGTATACTGAACTGCATTGGATTAGCCATTCAAATTGGCACCACAAACAAGGGAGTGATATATCTTGGTCGAATCGTCCTCGGATTCTCAAATGGCTTTCTGGTCACTTTCTCGAACATCTACACGGCGGAAATTGCCCCGGCTCATCTCAGAGGAGTGATGGTGGCGCTCTTTGCGTATTGGGTCAATATCGGTGCGATCCTGGGGACCATTGTGGATAACTATACCAAGGACCGTCTGGACAAGGGCTCGTATCAGATTCCAATCGGCAGCCTTTACATTGTGCCTGTCCTTCTGGGCATTGGACTGTTCTTCGTCCCGGAAACCCCTCGATGGTTGTTGCACCATAACAAGGAAAGCCAGGCTCGAAAGGCATTGGAGAAGTTGCGAGCAGACTCGCTGGCTCCCGAGTATTTCGAACTCGAATGGGCGGAAATCATTCGCGGCGTCGAGGAAGAGAGACGGATCGCAAAGTCTGTTGGACTGTTGGATATGTTCCGCGGTGAGTGCCTCGGGCATGTCTCGCGTATGGCTTGTGTAGCTAGCTGACTTCTGAGACTCTCAGGTGCCGATTTGCGACGGACACTATTGTGCTGGGGTACCATTCTGACCCAAGCAGGGAGCGGCTCTTGGTTCCCCATTGCCTATCAAACATATTTCTTCCAAATTGCCGGCATCAAGCAAGCTTTCCAGTATTCCATCATGATCACCTGCATTGGGTTTGTTGGCGTCAACTGCGGCATGTACGCCATGCGCCACCTGGTGGGGAGAAGATTCATTTGCATCTTCGGGTCGGTCGTGACAAGTCTCTGCTTCCTGGGAATGGCAATCGCACAGAGCGTCTCACCATTTACCATTGAGACTGGCAAAGTCACGGTGGCGATGGTCGCCATTTGGGGGTTCTTCTACAATGGTTTGGGGGCACCCCCGCATCCGCCCGCGTGGACTGCTGCTGTTACTGACTCTTTTCAGGATGTGTCGGCGCCGCGACTTATCCCGTGGCCACAGAGTTGGTGAGCTCCCGACTCCGTGCTTGGACCGTGGGGTCGGCAACCTCGATTCAATACGTTTTTGCGTGGCTCACCAGTTTCTGCACGCCATATTTCATCAACCCGACCGATCTGAACTGGGTGAGGCACTGTCGAATCTTCAATCCTCGATCTCGTTCACTGATGATGTCAAGGGTCCTCGCTACGGTTACATCTGGTTCGGCAGCAACATTGTGTGTGCATTGTTCTACTTCTTTTGCATCCCAGAGGTAAGAGACACATACACACCGCCGACGCCGCGAGAAGACGGCTTCAGCTGACCGAGAACAGTTGAAAGGGAGAACATTGGAGGAGATTGACGAGCTTTTCGAGAAGCGGGTTGGTGTCTTCAAGTTCAAGAGCTATCAGACCGAGATTCAGGAGAAGGCCTTGCACGACGTTCAGGTCAACACCGGGGCTTTCTTGGACAAGAAGCCCGCAGTGACCCATGTCGAAGAATCTGTGGAAAAGATGGAATGAGTTGTAAACACGGAAAAGGGGCCCTTTTTCAACACTCGGACCACAAGAGGACAAATACAGTGAGGTTATTCGGTGGGATAGTGGACTGGTTGTCACCCAGTTGGAGAGTTTGTCAGCCCGGGTTCCAGAAGAAGATTCTCGAGCCCTTGATGTTGCTTTGCCCACGGGACAGCCAACCAGTTACTTGTATCGCGGCCATAATCTCGGTTCAACCACCACGCTGATCTCCAATCTCGTCGTAGCTAGCTTTTGTGCCTTGATGATTCATCGCTCGCAGCTCGCCCGAGTTTCAAAAGGGGCCAGCGATCGAGAAGCTGTACATACTTGTCAGAAGTAGCGGTGGTTGGCCGCAGTCAGCAGATACATATCACGTTGTGTCCTTCGGGCAACACGCCGGCCGCTGGTCGAATCCCAAGGCGCTGCTGTTGTCGATCTAGATGCTCGATTCTCAATCTCCCCTGAGGCGTCAATCTCAAATCTCGATCCAACGTCTCATTCGTCAAAGTGTACGAGTTACTCGTACACAAAGTACGGAGGAGACAAGAGTCCTCACTGGGTGCTATCTATCCTGGACCACGCCTTTACACCCCTCTCTTCCTCCTCCTATTACTCTCCATCCCCCAATCCAATCCAATCCCATTCCATTTTCAGGCCCCTTCCTCCTGCTCCGCGCTCTGGATTTTTGAAACCCACTTCGTCCGCATACTCACGTAGTGTTCGACGCTCGGCCTCAGCCGGTCCCTCACGCCCGGGTCGTCGAGCGTGCCGAGCTGCACGCTCAACACGCCGGCGTACTTGTCTGCGGCTCCGGTCCTCCACACGACGGTGCTGCAGACGGGGCAGAAGTGCAGCGTCTGGATCGACGCGTCCGACGTCTGCGGGTACGAGTACGTCTGGACCACCGTCGGGTCTGAGAGGAGCGTGAACTGCGAGTCGAGGAGGAAGACGCCCGTGCTGAACGCGCTCGACGTCGCCTTGTGGCATTGCCCGCAGTGGCAGGTGATCTTTTGCGCGGTGGCGGTAAGTCATCGCTGTTTCTCTCATTTGTCTAAAAATCCATGGGGCTGGTGGAGGGGAGGGTCTCACAATCTTCAATGGCTCCCCTTCGTACGAGTACCTGATCTTGCCGCAGAGGCAGCCGCCAGAAGAAGGCATTTGTTTTTTCCTCCTGTCGTGTGTCTGTGTGTATACGTCGAACAAGTGCTGTTTCGAACGAGATTTCACTCTCGTCAGTCTCGTCAAGGAGAGATATGTCAAATCGGTCGATCGAGTAAGCTCTTCAATATAGGTCGTGGTGGGTGATGCACTCTAATATACTTATTATACTTGGCCCGTAAGGAAATCCCGGAATGTCAGCGCGCGCGCGCGCCTGGATCTAATGTACGAGGTACCTGAACCTGAACGCGACTCCATCTCGGCTCCGATGAAATATGTACTTGTTTGTCCTCGGTGCTGCCTACATACATACATACCATAGGAGCGGGATTCCCCCCAGCTGCATGCCCTGCCTGCCTGCCTGCATGCATGCTTATTTGGTGCGTGCCTTGCAGCTTACTCACAACTCGCAACTCGTACTCGTGCGAGAACTTGGTCTCAAGAAAAGTGCGTCTTCGTCGTCTGGGGAGGGTGGGGGGAAAGCAAATCCCTTCTGGTACTCACTCCCCTTTCTTCCTAATCCGGTAATGGCTGGCGATAGAAAAGGTGGAGCCACCTTCCTGTTCATTGATATTGACTAAAATGACTAAGCCGCCTTAGGCCTCTTCGAGCCAACTCGCGTCTAAGAAGACATCCCCAGACGAGGACGATCGAGATGGTATGTACCTACCCCGTGGTGTGCTAGTCCGGTCACATATTACGGTGTAACTCGGTAAGATAGATCTCTGATCCCGAGGTGCCATTATTAATGTAGCTTGTATCTCCTGCTCGATCGGACAAAATGGAAGGCAAGGAATACGGAGGGTTTCAGTTAGTGATTACTTTTCCTCTTTTCCTCCTGCTGGGTACCATGGGCGGTGGAGACGTTGATTGAGGCTTACCTATTAGCAAGACTGGGGGTTAAGATACGGACTGGGACTGGGACTGGCAAAGAGGAAACGTGCCGTCATGGGTAGAGGTTCCGACAGGCCGGTGACCTTCGTCTTCGATGGATATCAGGGGTCGAACATTCTCAACAAGTCGACCATCAACGCACACGTTGCGCGACAGGCACATCAACGGCGGCGGGAGAAGGACGAGGCACTGAAGAACAAAGGACGAAGCGGTGGCGCTGGCGGTGGTGTCGAGAATGAGAAAAGACAGGCACAGAAACAACGGCACCAGCAACAACCGTCTTCGACGGGAACAGCCCCGCGTACCGAGGACTACGACAGCGGGTATGAGAGCGGCCTCCTCACTCCGGTGATCCTGGCGGGAAACTCTGATCCCTTCTCGTCCAAAACCATCGCCGTCACGCCCGAAGTCCACCGTCTCCTGGTCTTCACGCGGGACTTCATCCTGCCTGCCGTCCACGCCAACGAGGCGTCGGTCGTGGGCGGGCGACACCACATCGATCGGTTCTGGATGGACAGCGTGCGCGCACTCGACGACGGCGGCGTGGCCGGCTACGCGTACCTCGCGCGGTCCGCGGCGATCCTGTCGACCCTCACGGCCCACAATCGCTCGAGCGTCGTCATGGCGTTGCAGTACCTCGGCAAAGCGACGAACAATCTGAGAAAATCCATGGCGAAGAGGAGCCGGCCGGACGCGCAGCCCGACGCGTGGAGCGTTTATGCGCTGTTTTGTGCCGAGATCGCCGCCGGGAACCTCGAGGGCGCGAGGGTCCATGGGCTGATGCTGCGGCGCCTTCTCCAGCCCGACGGCGGACGGACCTTTGACGGCGAGCGACGGCTCCTGATGGTCGTCTTGCAGCAGGACATTACGCGGGCGTGCCTTTCCCTGACGAGGCCGTCGTTCGACCTGCTCCGCTGGGCCGAAGAAAACCTCCCGGCCAGGATCACCGACGACCTGAGCAGGGAAGGGGGGGATGGTGTCTGTCACCCATCGGCATTCCCCTTCTCTACCGCGAACCTGTCCCCTTCGTTGTCCCCGACCCTGCGCGCCGTCTTCGTGGGTGTTCGTGAGTGGCTCGACGCCCTGGGCATGATCATGCTCAACCGCGACCTGTTCAACCTGGCCATCCTGATCAATGGCGCCATGAGGATCATGGTCCTCGAGGGCTGCCTGCTCAACAACTACCTGGACTGCATGGAAGACTGGGAACTCGGCCACTCGCCCGCCGCACTGGCCGAGGCCTGCCTAAGCCTCGCCGCGTTGTACTGGGTGCGTCGGGCCGCGCACGAGCGCATGGACGCGGGCTCCAAGCTCGAGGAGGCCGGGTCGTGGGCTTTTGACATGAGCCGCATCGTCTCGATCACCCTGCGCGACCTCGACGCCAGGATCCTCCAGATGGAAACGTCTTCTTCCACACTTCCGGCCGGGACGCAGGTGCGGACCGCTGAGGACAGGCTGTGGTGTCTGTACGTGGGGACCGTCGCCGAGTGTAACGTCCGCTCGCAGAGTCAGAAGTGGAGACAGAAGCAGAGCAAGAGCCAGAAACAGGACCGCCGTCCAGCTGTCACCACCACCACCGCCACCGCCGAACGCGACGGGAATCTCGGGTGCGAGAGCGAATGCAATTACCACGGCCCGCGGCTCACACAGCTCGCCACCAACGAGATGCACCTGTCGACGTGGTCCGAGATCGAGGCCGTCGCGCAGCGGTACCTGTACGTCGACATGATCAGCCACAAGACGAAGAAATGGTATGCGAATGAAACGTCAAGGCCCGTGGGCTTTCCTCCCTGAACTCTTCGTCTTTCCTTAGCTTTTTCCCTCCGCATTCTTCTTCGCTTCCCTTCTCTGATCTCGTTGTGTTTCTTCTTCTTGAGTCTTGTCTCAACAAGATGGCTCGTTCGCCGACTTTTGTTCACACCTAACCCCCCCCAACTTTGTGTGTGTAACGTCGCTGCTCTCTTCTCCTACCAAAGAAACCTCTCCCCATGACACGTGACACACGACACCAACAAAAATAGAGATAATCAAAGACCTGTTTCATAAGTGACAAGTAATAATGTATTCAGAACACTCCAAATGGCAAGAACGACAAATTCTATATCTTCTTTATCCATACACACACAAACACAAGAGGGAACAACACACAGAAAGTGTCTGCTCCAAAACAAGATAAGAACCAAGTCGATTTGTAAAAGAGAAAAAAAAAAGGCCACGTCAAACACCGCTCAACCAAACGCCGATTCTCGCACTCCCGCCACAAAACTCATTACCATCGCCCGTGCACAACATGGAACAATCACCCTCTGGTGCCGACGCCCCTTTACCCCCATTGCTCACGGTGCCAAGTAGGTTCGAGCAATAGCATTCCCTGCCAAACTCGACACCGGCATATTTATAGCCTCTGGTCTGACAGGCCGAGACACAGAACTCCTGCGTCATGGACGTGGAATTGGAGGTGCTGTATCCTTGCAGAGTGCGCTGAGCGGCGGAAGGATCTGTAAAACACCCCTGGTAACTGTAGCCCGCTATGATCGCCTTCGCGCTGGGAGGGGACAGCGAGGTATTGTTGTAGACACTCAAGCGACTGGGTCCACCACACATCTGCTGCGCATTGCCGGCGCACGGCATGGTACATCCCGTGACATTGACGACTGTGGAGGGCGACAGACCGTACCCGCAGTAGCATTCCCTCGAATATTCCAAGCCGGCAAGGGGTAAGTTTTGCGCCGTGCAGAACGAAATGCACGAGGGTATTGTCATTGCGGAGTTTGACGTGGAGGCGACCGAGAGGAGTCGCCCATTTGGCAGCTCGGGCGCACAGCCAAGATAGATGGCAGGGAAGAAGGCATTCGACGGCACGGAAGACGACGAGCTGGTCACACTAGATGTGCGCGTGCTGGTGCTAGATGAAGTGGAGGAAGTGGCCAAGCGAGTTGAGACAGTCGTCAGAGTGGAAGACCCCGGTTGACTCGTGGTTGTAGGAGTTGAGCTCGAGAAGAACGAAGTACTGCTAGTCGCCGAAGATCCAGGCAGAAAACTAGTAGTAAAGCCGGAACTACTCGATGACAGCACGGACCTGGATGTGCTCGTGCTCGCTCCTGTCGAGATCAACGTCCCCGAGCTGGTTCCTGATGATGAAGTTGGCAATCCTGTAGAAGTGGTCACCGGCGATGTAGTAGAAGCAGTTTGGGTCGTGGTTGTTGTGCCAGAGAGAATAGTCGTTGTACTCGTGCTTGCTGACGAGGTTGTTCGTGACACAGAGCTAGTGCTGCTTCGGATCGTGGTGGAAGAAGTGATCGAGCTCGAATTTGGCACACTCGAGGTGGAAGCTGTAGAACTCGTAGAGCCAATAGTGGTCAGCGACGAGGCTGAGCTCGGGGTTGCTGACGTGGTCGTAGAAGGCACTGAAGTGACAGAAGAGGTCACCGATTGTGTGGAGACTGTCACGCTGGAAATACTAGTCGTGGAGGACTGGATAATACTCGAGACCGAAGTTCCACCCGACGCCGACGTTACAGACATGACCGCAGAGGTCGACGACGTTGCCGGTGTCACTAGAGCTGATGTTGTTCGGGTCGATGTGCCTGGTGTGGTAGTCCTTGCTGCACTTGATATCGAACTAGAACTTGAGGGCGCAACGAACTGGTAGAGGCTTAGTCCATTTGGTCCACCACAAATGGTTGACGAATTGCCAGCACAAGTCATAGAACATCGTCCATCTGTAGCTGTGACGGAGCCAGCACTCAAGCTATTCCCACAGTAGCATTCCTGGCCATACTCCACTGCGAAAAAGGTAAAGCCGGTACAATTTCCGGCACAGTATTGCACCGTCATGCCGTTTGAGGCGACAGCCTTGCCCGTCAAAGCACGACCAGCTACTTCCGTGTGGCAATCGACGTATTGGAAGGAACCAACACTGGGGACAATGACTGGGCCTGTCGGATTCGATGGCGGTGGAGGAGTAGAAGTCGTCCAGTTCAGATTTCGGTACAGAGTCAACCCATTTGGTCCTCCACAAATGAAGCTGGAGTTCCCTGAACATGCCATGTTGCAACGTCCGTCGGTTGCTGGAGTGCTACCTGAGCCCAAGGTGTTCCCGCAGTAGCATTCACGGCCATATTCGACACCGAAATACTGATACTGTGTGCAGTTGCTGGCACATGTTTGCAAGGTAATGCTGTTGTCTGCAAGAGCAAACGCACTGAGCGCCCGGCCGGGGATTTCAGAGTAGCAAGACTGGTAGGTGAAATTGCCGATCGTGGACGGAATGGTTGGACCTGATGGTGTGGAGGGATTGTTGTTTCCACCACCATTTGAAGGCGGCGTGCTCGGAAGGGTACCATTGCCGTAGATATACATGTTGAGACGGCTCGGGCCTCCACAGTATTCTGTCTGATTGTTGTTGCAGGTCATGCCGCAGTCTGTTGCACTTGCGTTTACAGAACCTGCCGCCAATGTATTCCCACAGAAGCACTGGCCGCCATATTCGACTCCAGAGTACAAATAGCCTTGACAAGCCTGGAGACAAGAAGCCACTGTGTTGTTGGCATTGCGCTGCACATTCAGTGCTCGAGAGTTGGTACCTTCGGTGTAGCAGCCCAAACTGGTGTAATTGAGTGTGCCCGGGTTGACATACGGACCTGGAGCGTCTGTAGAATTGCCGTTCCAACGCGTAATGTCGCCAAAGAGGGAAATGTATGAGCCAGCACCATCAATGCCATTGCCGCCACAGATCTCATTGACGTTGCCGGTGCATCCAAAGTTGCAATTGGCATCGTCGACCACTGTCTTTGGTCGGTTGTAGCCACACCAGCACTCCTGCTCATATTGTGTGCCAGCGAAGATGTACCCTGCTGCTGCGCATAAAGAAATGCACTGTTCATTGGTATTGTTGACGCCACCGTAGATGGCAGTTTGAAGTTGGCGACCAGGATTGTTCTCCTTGAAACAGCCTCCATATCTGTAAATACCCTGCTGAGTGACTGGGTCTAGTGGAGGTGCTTGTTCCGAGACAGCATTGCAGAAGAATTGGATGTGCTGCTTCCCAAAGTTCGGATCATTCAGATTCATGGTCCATTGCGCAGTGCCATTGTAGGGGTCCACATTGAGTTGACTCTTGGGCACCGAGCAGAAGAGCGTCGCGGTGAGATTTTGTCCCGCATAGACCAGGGTGCCCTCGGCGAGATCGACCTGGTTATTGGCGCCAATGATGCTTCCAGCAACACCAAAAGGAGGCTTACTAACAGTCACTGACAAGGCCGCTGCATTGGCAGAACCGTTGTTGGTCAACCGCATTTTCAGGTATCGGCTGGTATTCTCCGTAACATTGCCGAAGGTGAAGGAGGTTGTGTTGTCAAACGGGACCCATCCTCCATCTAGGCTCTGGAACTCGAGTACGGCTTGCGGCTGATCCGATCCGGCTGCAAGGACATCAAGCACTTTGGTGCCACCATTGGAGACGATCTGAACGAATGCGGCGTAGTTGCCAGAGCGTGGAGGGTTGAAATTGATCGGGACAGTCAGAGCGCTGTTGGGAGGGACTGACGACGGCATATTGTAGAAGGTGAATGCCGAGACCACGGTTGCCGTTCGAGTGCCATTGGGGGAGATCCAGGGGCCAGTCTCACCCACAATGGAATACTGAATATTGCTGATGGAAAGAGGGCTATTTCCAAGGTTGGTGATCACCACAGACTGGTTAACGCCACCTGCCTGCTGTCCGGTAATGACACCATTCCAGCTGACAGTGTTGGGAGTGACCATTAGCAGAGCAGCCTGACTCTGGCCAGTCCCTTTCAGCTGGACGGGAGTATTGATGCTGAATCCGGCAGCTTGCTGGGTTGTATTGAGAATAACCGATGAAGACAGCGGGCCAACGGTTTGTGGGGTGAAGGTTGCCTGAAACGAAAACTGTTGTCCCTGAGCAACCGTAAGAGGGAAATTTGGCAACCCGGCGGTAGCAAAGTTTGGATTTCCTAATAGGCTTGCAGCGGTCACTGTTACCGCAGTGTTGGCGGTACATCGCACCGTCATCGGCGCTGTGGATGTGTTGAGATTTGCCGTGCCAAACTGAAGAGCGGTACAGTTTAGAGGTAGATTGACAGGCGCTCCGTAAGCATACAGATAGCCAACCGTAGTGCCCTGGTAGACAATACCATTTCCGAAGACAGGTCTGGTGAACTTGGTGGTTCCTGGTGTGACAAACGAATTGATTTCCGTCAAGAGACCGTTTGCATTCGGGATGGCGTTGTAGATCCGAAGATTGGATCCTTCGACATCCGACGTCCACACCAAGCCAGTCCCGGGCTGATCATTGAGCGAAGTGACAGTGCCATGGCCCACTCCGAGGATGTAGGCATTCTTTTCGGGGGAATCGGCCACTTTGTTGAAATATGGTACGCCGTCGTTGCAGGAGAATTTGAACACATGTGTTTGATATTGAATGACGTTGATATAGATGTAGCCTCCTTCGAGTGGGTAGACACCAGCTCCAGCATAGACCGAGTTCTCGTTCTGGTAGACTTGAATCACGTTGTCAAGCTTGTTCGGTCCGTTCTGATAGCCTCCGAGGTTGTCAAGATTGAGCCAATAGGTTTTTCCACTCTTTCCAGTGACCACCCCAATGCGTTTGACGTCGCCGCAGGAAAATTGACTCGGGAGGAGTTCCAACGGTGAAGTACCGAGATCTGCACCGAGTTAGCTTCGTTTCCAGGTCGAGGAGACCGTTCCTACCTTTGTCAGCACCATCAAGTTGGGTTTTCTCCCAGGGCATAAAGAAGTCGACCACGGTCAGAGATCCGTCGTCATTGATTGCCATGTGCACAGCAGCTTCTTCGAGTGACGTTGGTGGGTTCCTCCCGTTGACCGGTATTCCATTGAGCTGAGAAGCATAACCATTGCCAGAAGCGAAGAACATGGAGCCCTTGTCATCGCTTGCAAGACCGCCACCGGACATCCAAACACCCGCTCCAGGAACGTCAGGGCCAACACCAGCTGCGAATCATCAGATACAAGAATTTCAGAGCCAATACAGACGCCGTAATGACTTACCACCTTCAGTCGCAAATCTTTCCACGAGCTGTCCCGTGCCCTTGTGCCAACCAACAATCCACCCGGTGAAGTTGTATTGGACACTGTAAAGAGACAGAAAATGTCAGTTGCAAAACGACAAGACAATTAATCTTTTCCTTCTGGTCCCGACAACGGGCGAAGCGGAATAATACATACCAATGGCTAGCAAAGCCGGCGTACACATAGTCACCGGTGTGAAGCAGACCAGGACGTTGATGATGAATGCCACCATTGAATGACCGAACTGGGTTGTTTCGAGCCACCACTCCCTCAAGGTTGACCGGGAAATTGGGTCTCTCAGAGAGATCAACAGTGCTGATGGCGTGGACGTAGTAACGACCATTTGGGCGACCGTTTGCACCTGTCAGGCTCTGATCAATGTACGTCTTGGACGTCATATACCATGTATCCTGGGTTTGCGGTTAGAATTTGAGATCAGCAGAAGCTAAGAGAGACACACCGTATCTGGATCGATGACACCTGTCGCCGTCACGCCGACAGTCGGGTTGATATCGACACACCCGTCCAGATCGCTGACCAAAAATGGGCGATGAAGATTTCGAGATGCGACAATAACACCGGTGTTTGCAACTATTTTGTACACATTGTTCTGGGTTGTAGCAACATAGACATATTGGATGCCATCTGAGCCAGTATAGACCAGCGGTTGGGAGAATATCTGCTCGGGAACGTTCTGGCCGTTGATGGGATACGTTCCCGGTAGCTTGGTCTTGAAGAGGAGGCCAAATTGAGCGCTTCCAACCACTGCGGGATCCATGTTGTGATTGTTCTGGTAGCCGGTTCTGTCGTTTGATCCGCCCCACGTAATGGTGTCTGTACTGGCAAGAGAGTCGACATATTGTACGAGCAAGACATGCAAGGAAAGAAAAACGGTAATGAGTGACTGTGCGGAAAGGGGAATGAACAAACGCATGGTGCTAAACGAGTGTAAGAAGAGTGAACGAGTGACCGAAGCTGCATAGACAGCAAGTGAGTGTAGAAAGAGCTTGTACAAATCTCAAAAAGACACGACAGGGAAGCTTGCGCTATATCATGGCTTCAAATGTCTTCCTTTTGCGCCAGCCATGGTCGACTTCAATAGGGCTTCGTCACCTGGATCGCGGTCTCGGCCATGAGGCCAAGTCCAGATGGTGGAGGACATTGCGAATTGGCCTGCAAAATCTTGATCCGGCAAGCATCGAAACAAAATTGAATCAGGGGTCGGGTTCTGAGTTTGTGACAGAGGCATGAATGGTATAGGTCTATGGACTCTTTCTCAGAGGCAAGTCAGAGTGCCCGAATGCCCCAGTAGAGTTATCCCGGGCCAAATCCTAAACGCTGGGCAAGCAAGGAGTGTCTCTCTGTAGGGATCATGTCACCAGTCCTGTAGGATGAAGTTGACAGCAGGCCAATGCCAGATGTTGGTTTGACAGCTGGTCTAAAGTAAGATGCCATTGGAGATGTGATACGTAAGACCTGTCAATTCTTGAAAAGGGGACCTGGAACATTGCTCAAGGGTTGCCATGTGATGGTGGGAGGGTCAAGCCACATGGTCAGGGAATTGGTGTGCTTTTTTGGGGGGGGAAGATACGCGTACGGCCGGAACAGCTCTTTTCGCTATAGCAAACAGGTCTATGGGCAGATCATGAATGAAATTTAAAAATAGTCCAGAGGCCGGGAGGGCATCATGTATTGTGAGGATGGACGATATGAGAGGGTGCGGGCCACCAACCAGACGCGTCAGGGATACCTTCCTAAATTAAATGTGCCAAGACACTAATATCCGCTATTCCTTTGTCAGACTAGCGGGATTCTATGCAATACGAGCACGTCTTCAAGTTCAATGTATCAACCTTTTCTATATCACCAGGCAAGTCTATATTAGACACACAAAGACACCTTAGCCCTTACTAGTTCTAATCTACTGATTCTATTGGTTCGCAAGTTGCCCATTTTCATGTCGGAATTCTCTTGCTCTTGCATGTGAACGTGACAAGGTTGTCAACTGCTACTGCTCCCATGAGCCAGAAATAGAGAGACCAGCACTCCTGAGCCGCGCTGACAAACGTCCTGGATGCAGAGTCGAACAAAACCCTGTCCTTAGGTAAGAAATCGGGAATCTACAGCTTCTCGCGTGCTGGGATCTGGATTCCCTCACCACTCAAAGTCTTGGTCTAGACTGTCAAATAGGCGGTTAGGTAAGCTTTGCCAATATACTAGCCAACCGTCGGGCGGCCATCTCGTTTTCTCCTTGGATGCCGTTGATGAGAGGTTTTTATTTTCGCCTCCTGTTGGAGCTAAGCAATAGCACATCTTCCCTCATTGGTGCTGCTGGATGCACCTCGTCGGGTGCTTCCCAATTCGAACCCTTGGCATCAACCACGATTCACTGAATCTCTGCGAAACAATTTGCTGAGCTGGGACTTTGAACATCCACAGTATCCCTGCCTTTACTTCAAGCAGTTAATCAGTGGCGTGCTGAAATGCATCGCTTTTCCACGTGGGCTCGCCGCCACCTGAATCCAGAGGATTACATATGCAAACCTGTGGCGGATACGAGGCCGATTGAAGGGGGCGGAATGCTCCGAAAGCGTGTAATAAGGACTCAATCCCAGCCAGAAGAGTCGAAGGAATTGAAGGTCGAGGCAGTCGGCTTTGTTGGGAAGACGTTCACCAAGTTACCCATCGGCAACACCGCAACACATGGCCCAGGTGGACATAACGTTCCTGCCTGTGCTTGCACGAGGGAGTTCTCAACGGGAGCGCGAGCTCTACCAGGCTACTGCGAGATCTCACGCGGCGCGACTATCACACAAATGGCGAAAGCTGAAGCTATCCGACCAAGACAATGCGAACCACCAACGTCAGCATATTGGCGAAGAGTCACAACCCACCGGTGCGAGCGAGACTGCATGGAACCAGGCATTGGTGTCGCCAAATCTAGTTTCGATTCTGCAAAAAGGCAACTCGGACCCATTTAACAGTCTCGCGATCCACGTCACACCACGCGTCAACCAGATCTTGACTTTCTTTAAGCATGGCTACCTCCCAATGATCTATCCGGCCTTTATGGGCTCGGAGGACGCCATCCGACGGATTGAGGCACTGCAAAATCAGGAATACCGAGACGGAGTACTAGCTCTCCGCCTCGAATGTAGTGCCCGAGCTCTTCTCTTTATCAATGTGGCTTTTATGATTAAAGTCAGCCCTCACCAGGGGTTGGAGGACGAGGCGCTCCTGCTAAAGCACCAAAGCATCAAAGCGCTCCGCCGCGAACTAGTTAAAGGCAGCGTCGCCCAAGCCCAATCTCTCGTGCTGGATAGCGTCTCGATGCTGTTCCGTGGGGCCCTGATTGCCGGAGATCTGGACGAAGCGGGGCTCCACGCCAACACGCTGCGCAAGCTGCTCGAGCAGAAATACGATCGCGAGGGCGGCGTTGTCGATCTCGGCTTTCTCTTGCGGGTCCTCTACCAAAACAAGCAGCTGTCGGTCTTCCGCTTTTCGCTGTCCGTGTTTGACGTAGAGGAATGGGTCCCTAAAGTGCTCGCAGCCTATCTGGAGCCGTCCAAGGCCTACCTGGAACCCTATCAGCAGGTCATGCTCCGCAGGCTCGATCGCAGCATCTCTGCGGAGCCACTCCGCTCGCTGTTCGTCGAAATGCTGCTCGGGGACCACATGTTCAGTCTCCCCGCGGAATCGCACCCGGGGGAGCAGCTGTTCTCCATGGTTCAAGTCTGGATCCACATCCAGGGCACAATCCTGCACAGCCGTCTCGTCGACTTTATCTTGAAGACCGAGGCGTCCCACCACCTCAATTTCGACCCGATCACGGAACAGCCGATGCCTGACGCGCGCGAGAACCTCTACTGGCAGACCCAGCGGGTGCTCGCGCTCACGTTTCTCATCATGTTCGAGTTCAACCGCACGAACCTGGAGTCGGTGCAGACTGTCTTTGTCAACGCGCGCGATTTCCTCGCGCGTCTACGATCGGCCCTGTCGCTGACCATGCACGCCGCGAAGCTGACACGCGACTCCGCTGCCAGTGGTGGCTCGTCTGGTGACGAGAGCGATCTCGCCGCCGAGGGATTGCCTCAAGGTGATCGCAGCAACGCCATACTCTGGGCGCTTTGTGTCGGCAGCTGGACGGAGAAGAAGCACAATCCGCCGGCTGCTTCACCATACACCGCCGACGGCGATTATGCAGGGAAAAGTGGCGGAAATCGTCATGGTAAGGACGGCGGTAGCGGTGGGATGGGAAATGGTCTTGACAACGGAACTCGCAATAGTACTGAAAATGAAACCGGAACCGGAACCGGAACTGGCAACGGCCACGACAACGCCTCCACATCCACCTCATCCTCTGCTTCCGCCTTCGTCTCTGCCTCCGTCTCTGACGGCCGTGGCGCCGCCGACAACGACACATGGTGGTTCGCGTCGACCCTCTCGCGCCACGCACGGCAGATGGGCCTGAAAAGCTGGGACGAGGTCAGGGGTATCTTGCACGGGTTCTACATCATCGACGGGTACATGCCGGGGCTGGACGAGTGGATCACGCAGCTCCTCTCTGATCAGAATACTTATGTACGGTGAGGCCGGGAGGTAGGTAGGGAGGGAGGGAGGAGGTAACGTGAGGTGAGGTGATACCACCGCGAGGGATGGCTGTAATTGCAGTGTAATCTGGGGAGAACGACGCGGTATATGGACTCTACTCGTATGCTTGATGACAAAGAAACGGGTCTGCTCAAGTAAGGGGGCTAGTTGCTTCTATCTATGTGGTACGGACTTCTCGCGGGTGATCTATCTAATGGAATAGGAAAATAAAATGGGCTTTCATCGTTTCAATCTCTTCTTCTCTCTTTCTGTTTTTCTGTTTCCCTACCAGTCCTTATACATAGCTGCATGCCACATTCCTGCCAAAGGGTGATCAAAGCCACCTGTCTGCCCACACACCGCTGAAGCCTCTCAACCTTGTCACTTAGTGGCCGGTTTGCACCGCACTTTGAGATGGTTTTCTCCGTAAAAATTGGGCAGGAAGGAGTCGCGAAACCTCAGGTCGGCGGGCGGGAAATCTGGGTCAATCTCCAAAAGCTCGAACCGTCGCAACATGGTGGCAAAGGCGACGTACAACTCGCACCACGCGAGGTTGATGCCCAGACACGACCTCGGACCGCGACTGAAGGCCACCAGATTGGATTCGAGGTCATTGCCAGAGCGCAGCCACCTTTGGGGCATGAACTTTTCAGGACTGTCGAATATGGTCGCAGAGGAATGGACAAAGATGCCTGAGATGCCGACGACCGTGCCAGGAGGGATCTGGTGAGAAGCAATTGTTGCGCCCTTGGCTGGGACGACGCGAAGGAGAGGGGACACCACGCCTGGCGCAACCCGCAGAGACTCTTTGATGGTCGCGGTGAGTAGTGGAAGAGACTCAAATACCTCGAAGGAGCTTGGTGGGGCAGCAAGATCTGGCCAGACCGACCGGATTTCTTCGCGGAGAGATTGGTAGAGCTCCTCGTTCGACGGCTGCAGAATCTGGTTGAAGCCGAATATCAAGGTATTTCCGACAGTGTCGCCGCCTCCAAACATCAAAGCCTGCGCTTCTTCGTAGAGCGATTGTTTGTTCGGGATAGGCTGGCCTTTGTGCACTTCAGGATCAAGCAGTCGATGATAGATGGTAGGGTGAGGAGCCTCCTTGAGTATGCTTGGATTGGCCGTTACTTGGTCGACTTGATCTCGTAAGATAACCTGCAAACGCGTCAAGCCTGCTGTCTCGGGCGAAGCTTTCATGGCGATATTCGGAGGAAGCGAAAATACGAATTTCCGGAACAATGGCAAATGCTTAAATTGGATAAAGGCCGGCCCAGATGCCTCCATAGCTTCAATAATGGGGGCGTTATAGTCAGGTACATCGATGGCGTTCACAGATTTGGCGAAGCAGAAACCTGTTATGGTGTCCATGGTAAAGCATCTGAAGGCGAAGAATAAGTCTGATGACTTCCCTGCCACGAAGTCCCCTGAAAGCCTGTCCGCGAGATGGTCCATCTTGATGGCAGGAGAGTCAGCCAGCTTTCACGGTAGTTCTGTCTTTACTTACATTCTTGCGGACAAGGGTCTGCATTTGTAAGATGTTTCGTCGGGAGAAGAGCGGTTGCAAGACATCCTTGCGCTGCTTGGCTTCGTGGTATTTGAGGAAGCCAAACGAAGAGTGATCCTCGCCAAAGCATTCATACAGCGCCCTGTCTTTGTCCCAGCGGTTGACATTGTTGTAGATATCGTGATAGGCTTGCGGGTTCGAGAAATGCAGCTTTCATATATCAGTGCAGACCCCGGGGGAATGGAAGAAGGTATCAATACCTCATTTGGAGCAACACGGATCACGTCCCCTTGGGCCGGGTCAGCACCATTGACGTCCTCAATGTGATTAACTTGCCATAGCGTTGATGCAGCTCAACCAGGACGTCAGTCCAACTCCTCTGCAGAAACAGTTCAATGTAGGTCTTGTACCACCCAGAAGCCTGGGCTGCCGGGGGACCTGGATAATTTCGGAGGGGATGAAGAAGGACATTGTACAAAGCCTGGGCTACCTGAAGGGACAGCCAAACGATGATTACCAGGAGGGCCACTGAGTAGGGGCTGGTCCACATGTTGCGTGTGTACTGAAGCTAGTTGCCCTCACAAAGAGTCGCGTGGAGATGTTTCGCAGTAAGCCGTCAAACCTGGGGAATCTCTGATTCAGGGTGCTCGGCATTGAAGTCTCGAGGTTACAATTGAGGGCGCCAGCGACTCGATGTCGGCTTGGCCCCATCATGCACCCCATCCATGCAGAATCCACGGTGAGAGCCAATTGACGTTGACTTATGCAATTGATTTGCTAGATAAGGAACCGCCATGTCTTTGCAGTGTCGCAGGAGCAAAACAGGGTCGACATGCACACAAGCATGAGCGAAGTCTTAGCGGACGCTCCACTGCCCCGCCTGATCAGATGCTTGTCTTGTCTCCGACGCCAATCGATCTGCCGAGGCGATTGTGGTTTTTTACCATCTTGTTTGGCGGTGGGACCGAGCATCCCAGCTTGAGATAGCAGCCCGCAGGCGTCAGGGTCAAATCGAGATGCTTGCGTCGGTACCTACCCCGGTTGCAGGGTGGAAAACATTGATGACCTCGTTCGCGGAAGAATTCTCCTGAGAGCTGGTCGATCGTCTCGACACCGATGATCAGTCTGGGCGCGGGCTTCTTTTGCGGTCTTCTCATTTCTCTTTGCCTGTTCTCACACCACGAGACTTGAAGTGAACAGAACCAAAGATTACGGGCAATGGTGTGATGTGTATAACTGAAAGCAACCAAGAGCATATACCAAGACAATGGTTCATTCATGGCATCGCGGGGGGAGGGCCAGAACGCGGCGACAGACGGCCAATGAATGCTGCGCGTCTTTGGGCGTGTGTTGAATCGGGCGGCATGTGACGCGGAGTGAATTCACGAGGATGAGACTCTCCCAGTTTTGAAGCAGATGGCGCAGATGGGCGCAGTTTGTGCCTGCGTATCGGGTAACGCAGCCATGACGTTGGCCCCAATGGGGATAAACAGCCCAAACAACGAGTCACCAGATCCCTCTTACTCGTACTGCGCCTAGACTCAACACTCTGCGTCTCGCATATCGCCGTCTTCGTGCCTGAATTCTGAAGTCTGAGTCCTCACATCATATCATTCTGGAAACTCTAACCCGGTCCACCGAACACTCCCCCATGATACATATTGAGCATCCCAGGATCTTTATCCCGCAGCAACACAAAATCTGCAAAGAACTCCACTTCACCGGCTCTATTCCACCTGGCACTTCTTTTTCTGTACCATTGACATCTCCTTGCGGTCAATAAGCAATCAACAGAGAGTCGACTGTCAAGAGACATTTTACACGCAAAGCAATTCTCTCCTTCCCCTCGTCACATCTCAAGGGCACTGAGAGCGAAACAACGAGTACACATTTGACACACAATCAGTACACCAAAGAAGAATGGCATCACCACCATCCTACTCCGCCACAGCCGATCCCGGACGGGAGAGGCTACCGCCATACAGAGCGTCGCACGGGTTCGCCAACAGTCGAGAAGAACTTGCGGCGCTCAAAGAATTCGCCGAGTCCAAGCTATACGTCGATGCTGGGTCCAACGGCATGTTACCGGATCTTCGTGGGGGAGCGGGAGGACTACAGTCTCTCGCGTGGGGAGGGCCGATGGGGTCCCGGAATCCTTATTGGGAGGTTGGGTGGCCTGAGCCGGAGAGCAAGGAAGAGCGCAAGAGGCGAAAGGAGCAGGAGAAGCAAAGGAAGAAGGAGGAGAAGGAGAGGGGGAAGGAGAAAGAACACGAGAGAAGAGGGAGTGTCGCCGAGAGGCTGATGAGGGTCATCAGTCGAGGCAGCAGCAAAGATGGAGACACGGTTTCTTGACAAGGACCGCTGTTGTCTTGTTTGGAATTCCTCCCTCGACCGTGCATGTGCATCATTGCAAGGGTTCAACGAGCATTGCTACGTATCAAAAGTCGGGTTCTGTTATTGACTCCTTTACGTGGTCACAGGAGAAGGGGAATTGTCGATGTGCGTGTGCATTTAGCCTCATAGCAACCTTTTCCAAGATGTGTTTTTCATTGAGCCGAATCCATCATGATCTCTCTGCTCTGTCCTGTCTTGTCTTGTGTGAGTACATGTAATATCACGATGACCCCAAGGAAGGGCAATGCATTGTGGCTACTTGCAGCAGCCCCCGACAACTACCAGTCCGCGAATAACACGCACTGCATTGGTGGCACTCGTTGCACTCGGCCACCTGCTGAATAAGGTACGCCGGTCCAGTACCTCGTATTACCAAGAACCTGTGTAGGTGCCATACCTAGATAGCCCTATTCTTCAGGTCGAGTTCTCAGTTCCTCGGAGACTTTATTGTGTCTCGCCCAACCTCCGTATCCTTATTACTATCCCAATCTGGAGCGGGAGAGCGAGGAATGGGAGGATATTGTCCCGACTTGACTTCCTATCGATCCCCACTATGTTCCCGAATACCCCTTGAACTTCCGAACCCACTTCATCACCTTACATAATATGTATATCCCTATTTACGAGTACCGAGTATGTATCTCGTATATGCTCCCCTTTATGTCCGGTTGCGGAGGACAATGCCCATAACCTCCAGTCTTATCTTTTCCTTTTCCATACATGTAAATTGCCTTTGTAGAAGGCAATACAGACTCGGAGTCGGCTTCTTGGTATGCCGTGTCCCGTACGCCATATCCCGAGACAGTCTCAGGAACTTGTGTTATGTCCCGGCTGTACTTACCGAGCTATCTACTTCGTAGTGCACTAGGGAGATATACCATCATCCGCGCGGAAACGGGGTTAAGGGGACATACATACGTATTGGTCATTACCTGCTGAATTACTAACACCCCCCCTCTTGTTTCCCTTGTGGATCCATTCCGACCAGGGTTCAAGTCTGCATACTCTGTACCTCGTATAGAAGGTATAGACGGCAAAACCACTAGATCTCGATACCCACGTGTCCACTCTCTCTGTCTATATAAACAGGGCAGAAGTTGCCAAGACGAGGTGCGACTTTGATATATCATAAGCACGGAACAAACAGTCTCTACAAGTCAGCACTGTACACCCCGTTAGCGCATTTTAGTTAAAGATAGATTCAGGTCCTTTGGAGATTCTTGAGATTGCCTTCGAGGAAGATTTTGTCAAACGAACCAAACACAATGGACTCACCCAAGTACGCCGCATTCACCGTCCTGGAGACGACGTACAAAGTCGTCGACAACCACGCCATCAGTGTCTACACGTTGATCCCCAAGGCCCTGCCGTCGCCGTCGTCTTCGCCTCGGCCAGTCATGGTCAAGTTCCACGGCGGCTTCCTGATCACCGGCACGGCGCTGTACCCGGACTGGTTTCCCGCGTGGCTGGTGGCGTACGCGCTGCGCCACGCCGCGGTGCTAGTGCTGCCCAACTACCGGCTCGCGCCTGAGGCGACGGGCCTTGAGATCATGGCCGACCTGCACGACTTCTGGGCCTGGCTGAGGTCCGACTTCGAGACGTACCTCGCGGGCGCGGCGCCGGGCGTCCAGGTCGATCTGGCCAGGGTGCTCTCCACGGGCGAGAGCGCCGGCGGGTATCTCTCGGTGCAGAGCGCGCTGGGAGGCGAGGAGCAGGAGCAGGGGTCGATGGTCCCCACCGCCGCCATCGCCACGTACCCGATGCTGGACATGAGGTCGCCCTTCTACACCAAAGACTACCCCAAGGTCGTGCTGGGTGCGCCAACAATCCCCAAGGAGGTCATGGGCGAACACCTGCGCGCGGTCGAAGAGGACGCAAAGAGCGCGAAACGAAGAGTCATCAGCTCCGCGACCCCGCCGAACAGACTACCCCTGGCTCTCTCGGCGGTGCAGCAGGGTCTGTTTACGAAACTGCTGGGCGAGGACACGATCTTGTTCCCACTCGAAAGAATCGAGCACGTCAGCCCGGAGAAGGTGCCGCCCATCCTAATCATCCACGGCCGCGACGACACCGGGGTCCCCGCGGAAGGGAGCGAGAAGTGGGTGGCAAGGGCGCGAGAAAGGTTTGGATCCGAGAAAGTCGCCTTGGTGCTCCAGCCCGGCGAGCATGGATTTGACACGGATGAGAAGATAACGCTTGAAACGCCGTGGCTCAAGGACGCGTTGGTGCCGATAACGGCGGCGTGGCTGGGGACCGACGAGTAGGCGTACACACACAGTCTTGATATGGCAATAGGGCATCAAACTGGGTACATACAGGCAGGACAAAAAGCTATAGAAATAAAGGGATTCTTTCAGTCGCAAAGACTCGATCAAGAGAACGATACAGCGACGACTGAGTCCAAGAACATGAAGGGAGAGAGACGGAGACGTTGTCGTCGCGCAAGGCCTACTAGTTGGTACAAGGCTGAATCGAGCAGGCAAGGCTGAGACCCCCAACCCCTGTCCCGAATTCTATCTTTGCAAGAGTTCAGGATCCCTGCCGAACATGTAGCAACCGCGAATGTGGTCAAGCTGAAGCCTCATGTCAAAGCCTTCAGCAAGATTACAATGTTATTGACATATCATGGTCTTGCCACCAGTGTCTATATTAGTCTGGGTTTCGTCCATGCTCAGCTGACAAGAGATTCTGGACGCATGTGCCCGACAACAGCGGGAATAGTGGACCATGCCACATTTTCCGCCCTTTGAGAATTCCGCCCATCTATTTTGTGCCGTAAAGTCCAGGTCTCAATGCCTCCCAATGCCCGCCCGTCTAAGTATACACGTTGAAAGAGACAGATTTCCGTCAACCCGAGTTACATGATCCTGCTCGTCCTCTGTTATGCTCTAAACAAATCAAGGTGCTCAACTGTGAAATGTTGACAGTCGTTCAATGGGTCCCAGCCATTGAAATCTGATGCATTCCAAACAGCTTAGGCATATTGCGCCCAAAAGTGGAGTGAATAAATCCCCGAGAGGTTCGAGGGCACTCCAATATGCGATGTTTTCGTGCGTCTGAGAAAAAACTCAGCGCTT